TTTTTTTTTTTTTTTTTTTTTTTTTTTTTTTTTTTTTTTTTTTTTTTTTGTTTCTGTTGGTTCAATCTCTAGGTTGTTCGTGCTCTGCGGAGTATACTGTAAGGAGAACGGAAAGATTGGAGGACGGAGAGGATGAAGAGTTCTGTTTCGGAACAGAGTTTTTTGTATGAGAGTGAAGACGAAGAGAATCCGGTGAATGTAATGCATAAAGATAAAGACGATGGAAACGATTCGGATTCTTCCGATGCTTCGACTGAAAATCAGAGACGGAGCAAGCCTAATTCATACACCACCGCTTGGCCTCAAAGTTACAGGTATCAATCTCTTTCTTCATATCAATAAATTAATGCCCTCGCTTCTGTGCGTTTTGTTTGTTCCTTTTACTTCTCTATGAATATCTGATCTATCTGTTTGAGACTCCGTCGATCCGTTCGTTTGATTAGAAAATATTCTCGATTCGATCACGCTTTGTACATGTCGTTTTAGTTGGTTTTGTTTCTGTTACAAAAAAGTTCTTCCGACAACACAAAATGGGAGGTCATTTCATATTTTTTTTCTTTTTTATCTTTTGGATTTCTAAATTTCCGCTAGAAATCCCTTTTTAGCATAACAATCAAACTCGAGATTGAATAAATCTTATTTTACTCAAATTGCCTATATTTTGATTCATAAAGTTAGTACGGATGCTAATAATATATTTGATTAGTTTTTTGGATGACATCCTATCTTAACTCATTTGATCGCACTAGAATTTTTTTATATATTCATTTTTTTACTCTAATAATGTGAGAATAAAAGTTTGAAGTGTGCTTGTGATAACAACAACTTTTAATTTTTTATTCAATAAGTTCATATACTTTAAAAACCGTTTAATACATTCAAACTTTTAATTATATGTATAAACAGTTATGAATTTTCTGTACATATTTGACATTAAGAAAAACTAGAATTTTATAATTCCAATCCTGTATCTAATTAGTTAAATATAATTTTTTTTTAAATTTAAATAAGTTAACAAAAGAAGGAAATTGGAAGTTTAAATACTAAAGTACAAAATTTTGAGTTTAATTTTTTTTGTATACAATACTGTAAGCTAGAGTTTGATTGATATGCTCTACGCAGCTTTTGGTAACGCTGAATTTGGGGCCTATTAATTGTATGTTTCAGACAGTCAATGGATATGCTGGGCAGTGTCCCATCGCCTAAAATCGGGATGTTGGGAACGTCATCTTTGACTGGATGGGGCAACTCATTCCTGTCCTCTTCGTTAACCCGAAGGCACACTTCTGAGACATTAGCTTCTGCGACAAAACCGCTGCTGCCCACGGTGGCTGACGAGAAGAAAGACGAGCAGCCGCCGCCGCATCAGCAACGACTTAGCTCTCACTCTCTGATTCTCCCTTTCACTTCAAGGAGGGCATCGGCCATTAAAAAAGATGACAAACTTTCCACAGTCCCACACGAGTTTCCGACTGCTCGTCGTAGCTCATTCGGTCAAGCCTTGCTTAATGGTTAGTCCTGAACTATGACCTTTTAATATAATATTATGCCCAATATATTCCTTGCATCTCTGATCTCTATCTCACTAGAAAAGCATTCAGTGGATTGAAATGATGAACATGGCAACATGTTACATTTTGGAGGAGGTCTGTGATTATAAATCGGTAGATGTGGTCTATGAAGCCTCAAAAAAGTATTTTATATAGGTACTTTTTGTTTTTTTTTAATTTCATTTAGAAATTTTTTTTATGTGGTTCTGAAATTGGGACTGTTCCATTAGCTGTCTAATGTTGTAGGCATGAGTGCATGACCGTCGTTTCTGGTAACGAGTGCTCTGTTGATTTTTTAATGCTTTGGAAATTTTTTTGGACTTTTGATAATTCCTTCAAAAATATTTCAAATAACATGATAATCTTGTTTATAATTATATTCGTATTTCACACGACCAAAGTCCCTGCTACTATTTGGTTTTATATATTGGCTACCTTATTATTGTTTGATTGGCTTTGTCAGCATTTGAAATTAATATGTCCAGAGGGGCTAACCACGTGATATTTTTTCATGCCGTCCTGCTTTTTCCTTTTTTTTTTTCACCTAATTCAGCTAGCTTGTTTTACACGATTTAGGGCTCCTTTTTTTATCCTCTCCAATAGATAAAACTTTCTACAAAAAGTTCATAGATGCGGCGATTCTGTAAAGTTTGTCCTAGAGCAAATAACTCAGACACGTGATTTCCATGCCCACTTTTTATTACTGTTTTGTGTTTTCGCTTAATTCTGACGATAACCCAACCCCCCCATGTGCCTATCATTTCATCACCCCCCACATGGAATACCTTCATATCTGTTAGTGTCATTGGAGCACTTTAGCAAATTACGTACATGAACCGAAATCAGGCCCCATTAACTTTTTTGACCTATAAGTTGCTTCATGTGGCACCACTCTGACATGACCCACACGGATAAACAATTCAGAGCATTGTGTTGCCTAATTTAGATAACCTGTTTTTGAAGTGTAGGTTTGTGTGTAGCCACGGTTTTGGAAATGGGGAAACCGCCATAATTATGAAACAGAAAAAAATAGTGGGTCCAACCAAAAACTATGAGGAAAATGGAAGGCGAAATAGTGGGGGTCCCACCAAGTTATAGAAAGCAAAAAAAAGGAAACTCGATTTCAGATGATTCAGTTCGGTATATGATGTTGATGTTGATGTTGATGATGCAGGTGGAAATGTGCTATGTGGGGTTGGAATACTATCGACGCCTTTCGCAGCGAAAGAGGGAGGATGGCTTGGACTTTCAATTTTGCTCTTATTTGCTGTGCTCTGTTATTATACTGGACTCCTCCTCCGCGACTGCATGGAAAGTAGACCGGAGCTGGATACTTACCCAGACATCGGCCAGGCAGCCTTTGGCACCACCGGCCGAATCATCATCTCGGTATGCCATTTGAATCATCTAATGATATCATTTCATATGTAAAGTAATCAATTATAACAAATTATTCTTCTAATCTATAAACATTCATGTTTAAAAAAACGAGTGTTCAAGGTCTATACTGCTAAATAGGTTAAAAGACTAATTAGGTGTAATTAACATAATTAATCATTTTTTGTTTTTGTTTGTTGCTGTGGATGCAGATAGTTTTGTACCTGGAATTATACGTAAGTACAGCTATCTCCATTGAGTGAGTACGTGTTATTTGTTTTGTTCTATCTGATTAATTAAACCAACGGTTGTTGGATGAGTTGGTGGGTGATTTTTAAATGCTGACTGCTGACTGTTCCTATAAGATATCTTGACGCCAGGATTCGCGGGTCCACGTGGGTTCCTTTCCGTCTGCAACTCCCACTTCAAACTTTCACTTTTGGTTGAATTACCATTTGGTCCCGATTGTTTTGAATTCATTTTAACTTGGTATTTATTTTTAGTTTTGATTTGGATCATAGAGAGGTCCCATTTAAAATTTTTTAAAACAAAGACTAAATTGAAGCGTAATTTGATCAAACATTTAAAATATATATATATATTTTTTTTTTTATTATAGTCTATAATATATATATATTTTTTATATACGTTATTTTATTCTATATGAGAGATACAAAATTGTTAAAACTCTAACTTGAGGGTATATATTTTAATTTGTAGTATTTTTTCTATACATAATTGTTTTAGTATTAAGATCATAATTTAAGTAATTAATTTTTTTAAAAAAATTATATTGTTTTTGTTAGTTCAATAATTGTGGAGTGAGACGTTGAACCATCTATATTTGAGTTGGTAATTCAGTCTTAATTATGCTTAGATTGGCTTAATAGATATTAATTATCTCCCTTCATATATATTTGAAAATTATAAAACTATAATATGAAATAAATAATCGACAGTGAATTAATCCCTAGCTCTATCTCTTATCTGGAGATTTTTACAGTCTCCTCTTTGGAACTTGAAGTTAAAATAAATAGATTTAAATTTATCTCCCTAAAAATTATTATATAAACTAACATATTTTCTACACCCTTCACTCTCATTCCAATAGTCCAGAAAAGTATGGTCATTTTCATTAGCTATGAAAATATTATGTTTCATTAGCTGTTTAGTATAATTATTATAGTGTTTTTAGTAGACAGTTAATAAAATTTTCTCTTCTTTCAGGCTGCTGGTATTGAGCAAATAATCTTGGAGAGTGATAACTTGTCTTCTCTATTTCCAAATGCCCATTTAAATGTGGGTGGATATGAGTTAAATGCACACCTTTTATTTGCTTTGATGACTGCTCTTGCTGTTCTTCCTACCGTTTGGCTCCGGGACTTAACCATTCTTAGCTATATCTCTGGTAAGTGGTAAAGAAGCTAGTCTAGGGGTACCAGAAATTACATTTCTTGAATTATCATCTTCATCCACTGTTGGGACATGTCTTTCATTGTTGTTTTTATGGTCTTTCAAAAGTTATAGTATTACCCTTTATTTTAATTTCATAAATGTTTCAAAACTACTGTTGAAGTGGAAATTCATTAGGATTTTGGGTGAAAATTGGGACATGAAACAGTACAGCGGTTACCGAAAACATTAATTTGATTCGTTTTGCTGCTTCAGCTGGTGGAGTTATCGCATCAATATTGGTTGTCCTATGCTTGTTCTGGATTGGGCTGGTGGATGATGTCGGTTTCCAAGGGAAGGAGACGACGACGTTACTGAATCCTGCAACCCTTCCTATTGCTGTTGGTCTTTATGGCTTCTGCTATTCTGGACACGCTGTCTTCCCCAATATTTATAGTTCAATGGCAAAACCAAGTCAATTTCCGGCAGTCCTCTTAACATGGTAATGTACAATGCTGAACTATGATTAGCTATTTATATCGATGCATATGACCTTTATTATGCAGTGAATGAATAAGAAGTTTCATGCTCTCCCGTGAATGAAACCATTTCACATTATTATGCAGTTTCATTGTTTGTACTTTGATGTATGCGGGAGTTGCTTTGATGGGATATGCAATGTTCGGAGAATCCACGATGTCACAGTTCACTCTTAACTTGCCAAAGAACTTGGTTGCATCAAAAATCGCCGTCTGGACTACGGTAAATTCTCTACAATTTTGATACCCACAGCTTTGTAATCCTTGTTATGAACTTGAACATTTGCATTTCATGAGATTTGTTATTTGTTAATGCTTATTTTGTAGCAGTGGCTAATGATACTTCGTCTCTGATTTTGTTCTTTGCAGGTGGTTAACCCATTTACCAAATATCCTTTTATCTTTCATGTAGAACGTAATGAACTATATTCCAGTTTCAGTACAATTATGGACTGATGTAGACCAATTTCTTGGGAGGATTTTGAAAAATATCTGACAGGAGTTTTGACTCTTCACAATGATATGATATTATTCACTTTGAATATAAACTCTCAATCCTCCCATCGAACAAACTACATCATAGAGCCTCCACTTAGGACCTTATGAAGCCCTCGAACACCCTTTGTTCAACACTTCAGTCACTTTTAATTACACATTTGAGGCTCACAACGTCTTTGTTCGATATTTGAGGATTCTATTGACATGACTAAGTGAAGGGCATGACTCTGACATCATGTTAGGAATCATGACTCTCCACAATGGTATGCTATTATTTACTTTGAGCATAAACTCTCACAATTTTGCTTTTTCTTTTTTCCAATAGGTCTCGTACCAATGAAAATGTATTCCTTACTTATAAACCCATAATCATCTACTAGCGAATGTGGGTCCTAGATTTCTGTTATATGAACAACAACTATTTTTCTTAATGAAATCTACATATGCTTTGACGGTGACTCCAATTGCAATGAGTCTGGAGGAGCTGATACCATCAAATCATCCCCAGTTTTTAATATTCTCAATCCTTATTAGAACAGCTCTTGTCATCTCCACCTTGCTCGTGGGTCTCAGCGTTCCTTTCTTTGGTAAGTACTTACTAAAGATTTCTTACTGATGATATCTATAGGTTTGAAGAGAAGCGTCATACTAAATATTGTTAATCATCTGTGGCAGGTCTGGTTATGTCGCTCATCGGCTCACTTCTGACCATGTTTATTGTAAGCTTTTCTACAATGCGTGAGTTTGTTAACCAAGCTGTTCTTGTTTATAACTTCGTTTAAAACTTCACATTCGCAGAGTTTAATACTTCCATGTGCTTGTTTCCTGAGCATCCTCAAAGGGAAAGTAACTCGTCTACAGGTAATGTTTTTCTTTTGTTACTGTACTGATATATACTGTGTGAAAATTTATCCATTCCTGGTGATAGCATTTTGAGTGTTTTTTTAGTGAAAGTTTGATCACAAACACGGCAAAAGTACAAAAAATATTTTGAAGAAATAAATTTATGTATAATCGTTGCAAACAAGAATCAGAAATTTTATTATGAAACAAAAAAACTGAAAAAACTATACAAAAAATATTTTTTAAAAAAAATTGTGACGTGATAAATTGTAGTTAGATGATTAGGTCATTGCACAAAGATCAGTACAACCTATGCATCGACTTTTGTTGTATTATAAATTTGATGTTTCTTAATATGACCACGTAAATAGAAAAATCTACCTATTTTTTACGGTTCAATTTAGTGGTTCAACCATAATTTGACAGGAGACGATTTGTTTATTTAAATTTTAGAACATTTTTCTATTTCTATTGTATTGTTGGAATGATCTACAGAAGAATGTTTGGAGCCACATTGTTAGAAAACAACATATATTTTTGTGGGTTATTTTGTGCAGGGAATAGTATGTGGCATAATCATAGTAATAGGGCTTATAGCAGCAGCCTTTGGAACCTATTCTTCCGTCTTAAAAATCGCCCAGAATTTGAGTTCCTGAGAAATTTGGACTGGCATTATTTATATTTATTGTTCTTCCTCAACAATTTTTTTTTTTTTTTTTTTTTTTTTTT